TCGTCCAAGCAGTCACTGCAGGGTCAGTAATGACTGAGCGCAGACAAAAAAAAAAAAAATTGGTTGGGGTCATAGTCCCTTTTAAAGTGGGAAGATTTGCCTGGTCTTGGGGCTGTCTATGGAAGTAAGAAAGGTGACAGTAGCTAGAATTATTCTGAGCTTGCAATGGTACACCCAAGAACAGACCTTGCCTCAGTCACCCATGGCCATCTGAGATCCTGATGAGCTGAAACCTGTCTTTGAAGGCAACTCAGAAACCACAGTTCATGTAACTGGTTGCAAGTTGATGGGGAAAGTCAGTTGAAGTTAGTTTGTTGGACCACCTTTAACAGACTAGTATTGATCTTTATGGTTTGAGCCCAGATTATATGAAGGACCACTACCCTGTCTTCACTTTGAGATTGGCTTCCAAATCCTCTGGGATAGATTCAAGGGATGGGGCCATTTCAGCTGAGGCCCCAGATCTGTATACCCTCACTGAACTAGGTTAAACCCTGTCAATTTAGTCCTTTAAACAAACTTAAATAACTATTTATTTTGAACTGCTCGCACTGTGTTTTTTTAATTTGGTTTTTATGCTTTTAAATGTTGGGTTGGAATTGGCAGTACTTTTATTGTTTTCACTGGTATGTCTTAAGAGCATATGCAACTGTTGTTCGTGGTGTTTTAAGTCTCTTGGTGTCATTGTCTTCTTTTTATTTAGGTGACCCATTTGTTCTGGAGGTTGGAAATTGTCTTATGAGGACCTGCATAACCCTAAAAGGGGCATGTTGTAAAGTAACATCTATTTTCCTCCTAAAACATAACCATTTATGAATCTACTCCCTTAGTATAGACGACTCATCACTGCGAAGTTAGAATGTTTATAGACTTTCTATAACATCATAGCAGTTTAGCCAATGACCTGCTGAATGTTCATTTCAATTAAATGAGTTCAAATTTGTGGACATATCTGAGTATCTTTTCCCAGGATACATTTGCCTGCAAGCTGGGCTGGCAGACCTAGGACCAGCAGAACTGGGATTCAGGATCTGCGCTTAAAGGCAAACCAAGGTAAGAAGATGAGCCAAACCCACAACATAAAGGTCCAGATGGCACTTAGGTTAAAAAAGGCCCTTTCTGAGAAAAAGATAAGAGTGAATAGGAGGAAACAAGAAGGGGGGAAAGTGATTTTGAAAGAACAGCTGTAGTAGATGGTGAAAGAAACACCATAGTGATAGCACAATATGAACATCTAATTTGTCACAGCAGGGTCTTCTTAATCAAAGACACACACCTCCATCACCTTCTGCAATAGAGCCAAAGCTACCTTTCTTATTGGACACAATTGGATGGGCAGCGATATAAATTGGATGGATAGATAGATAGATAGATAGATAGATAGATAGATAGATAGATAGATAGCTCCGTTACTTTTAACATCCCTTCATCTTTTTTTTTTAAGTTGGTTTTTACTTCCTTTAATGTATTTATTCATTTTTTTTTAACCTTGTGGCATGCCACCCAGAGCTGCTTGCTGGTGAGATGCATGGCTATATAAATTGTATA